AGGCCGGTCCTCCCGGCCCGGAAGTCCTCCAGCAGGGCCACGCGCTGCTCCTCGGTGAGGTGGCGGGACCCCAGCAGCTCCCACAGGGACCGGCCGTCCTCGGCCCCCTGCGCGGCCTGCAGGGCCGCCTGGACCTCCTGGTCTGTGGGCACCGGGGCCGCGCCCTCGGGCAGGGGCAGCAGGCAGAGGCCGGTGGCCTCGTCCGTCACACACTGCTGCAGCAGCTGGGCGTAGCTGCTGTGCGTCCGGCCGTCCGGCGCGGGGAAGGTGTCCGTGGCGCTACGCAGGGCGGTCTCCGTCTCCCGGTCGATGAGGCCACGCTGCGTGGCCACGGACACGGGGAGGTGGAAGTGGCCCGCCGGGTCGATGACCCCTCCCGTGGCCACCTGGGCCTCGAGGAGACGGGCGGCCTGCTCCGCGGGGACCAGGCCCTTCTTCATGGCCTGGAACAGGGACACGGCCGCCCCCGAGAAGGGGTCTCTGAGGCCGGTGAGGGCGCCCTCCGCCCGCCTCAGCCTGCTGTACAGCTCGGGCCCCACCAGGCCCCGGCGCACGGCCCCGTCCACCGTGAGGGTCTCCCCGCTGCGGGGCTCCACCACGGTGCCGGTGGCGGCCTGGGCCTCCAGCAGGGCGTGGGCCACGGCCGGCGTCAGCAGCTTCCGCCTCATGGCCTCGTAGAGGCTCAGCGGCCGGCCGGAGGACGGCAGCAGCACCCCGGCCACGGCGCCCGTGCCCCGCAGGGCCCTGCGGACGGCGTCCCGCCGGAGCAGGGCCTCGGGGCTCAGCGTCCCCCCCAGCACCTGCTCCAGGAGCTCCTGGTCGATGACCTGGGCCTCCAGGAGCTGGCGGGCGGTGACCTGGCCCCTCAGGGCGGGCAGCCTGACGTCCGCCCACCTGCCCATCTCCGTGTCCAGCAGCTGCGCCACCTGCTGCAGCGAGACCCGGCGCCGGCGCAGATCCTGCAGCAGCCGCCTGCGGGTGTCCTCACGGACGCACTCGGAGTTGAGCAGCTCCCAGGCGGAGACGCTGCGGCCCCGGAAGCGGCCGTGCCTCGCGGGCAGCACCAGCCCCTGCAGGGCCGGACGCAGCTCCTGGCCCAGCTGGTGGGGGGCGGAGTCCCGGGGGGCCAGCGGCAGCAGGAGCAGGCCGGTCTCGGGGTCCGGCTCGCAGCGCCCCAGCAGCTGCAGGTAGGTGAGGTTCTCGTGCGTGTTGGGGTCGAAGAAGCCCTTGGTGTCGTCCGAGGGGTCGCGCAGGACCTCGTTGAGCGCCTCGTCGAA